TAAATTTACAGTCTTCCGCTTAGATTTTGTCTCGCTTATTATATTGTTGAAAGAAAGCAAGAAAGGTGTTTTAAACATTTGGCTTGCCTAGCTCCGATAGTAGGCGTCATCACGACACCCAATGGTGGGAAATCCGGGTCGTGACAATGAGGATGCTTCTTCCTCTCTTTTTAATTATATACTGGTATTAGTACTCGCGCGATGCACGGACACAAATATCAAATTAGAATTTGAGTTATTGAAATTACCTTAAAATTTAAAACTTCTAGATAACATGTTTCTTTTTATTTATATTTTTATTTTATATCTTTAACAATCTAACTCCTTGATTTAGTACTTGTATTTTATTTTGTGGTCAATATTAAATAATACTAAACATATCACGTTTGTGATATGTCTTGTTTGAGCATATTATTTAACAAAATTCTTACTACCACTTTATGTTTCACCGCAAAATCGAATAAGTCTTATCCTTCTACATTTTCACCCAAAACAACTCTCTCTTTAATCTTTGCTTATAGTTATTGCATTATCTATTACTTAATAATGTTATATTCATGTGATCTTTTATTAGCTTACCAATTGACTTGATATCTTGCTTATTACCCTTTTGATAAACATATATAAATATAATTTTTTTATTCCTAAAATTTAATTTATTTTTGTACTTTTATCCTCTTACTTGGAACTCTATTTTCATTTAAATCTCTCAACAATAGTTTTGAGTATTATTTAATTATTTAATATACTTATACTTAATTAATTCAAAGTATAAATATTCTCACACTATCTCTATTTTCCTATTTATACATCCTCTTCCCTACTATGAATTTTTAATTAGTTTTTTACATTAATATTTTACCAATAAACAAAATATATAATATCACATTTTATTTTAATTTATAACTTTGAATTAGTTTAAAATATTAATAGATAATTATTTTATTATTATATTTTAAATCTATTGAATTTTCTTATAATTATTTTTTGTGTCACGTGTGATTAAATTTTCTTTCTCTTTTATCGTTAGGATACAAATAGACTTTAATTTTTGTTCATAAAATTACCCACACGAGATATTTATTTTGTATTTCCTTAGTTTTAATTTGTTATCCAATTTTTTTTTTATCTAGTAAAACTTTAATTTTGTAGTCCTATCCATAGTTTGAGCATTTCACCATAATTTTAATATAAATTTCAAGTTCAAATCGTCTTTCCCTTCTATTTCTAATATTAAATATTTTTAAATTTTTCATTATTGCTATTAAGTTACCTAATATATAGTATTTTATTTTCTTATGTGGCTTTCATTAACATGCCTCTTTATTTTATATCATAATCTATTTATATCCTTTAATATTATTATATAAATCGATGTATGATTTTTTAATCTTGAAATAAATATTAGTTTATTTAAAATTAATACCCAAAATTATCAAATTGTTAATTTATTAATAATATTTTAAGAATTATATATTTACTTTATTTTATTTTTTAAACTAGTTCTTAGTATAAATAACCTCACATTATCTCTAATTTATTAATATTTTGATTTTTTAAAATTTTTTAATTTATTAAACTTCAGTTATGTGGCCTTATCCACATCATGGCCATTTTTATCATACTTAAAAAAAACCTTTTTTATATCAAATTTAAATAAATTTTATCTTTTTTTTGTTCTTTATGATAGAAATTTTGATTTTTTTCTCTGTTTGTTTCTCATTTTGCTATTGTATATTCGATCCTTAATATTATAATATTAACGTTGTCATATGCTTTTTATTAGTTTACTTGAATTTAATATCCATTTTTATCATATTTATTTTAATATAATACAAATAATAAATAGAAATTATTTCAATAGTAACTTTGACTCTATTGCTTATATTCTTAAATATGAATTTTCTTATCATATTAAAAAAAAGTCTCATCTCAAATTCAAATATATCTTATTCTTCTATTTTCTCCATTGGACCACATTTCCAAAAATCATCTTATACTTTCAAACTTAACCTAGCAATACTCAATTCAAATATTAATCGTAAAACCTCTAATTGTTGCAACAACATTTTCACTACTATTTCAAGAAATATTTATTTATGTATAAAATATTTATTGTCCAAATTGTCAACATTAATATAACCTCATTATATATATATATTACTATTTAATTTATTTTCCTACCATAATTGAATTATACACAAAATTTAATTAAAGATACATATAGTAATATCTATTGTTCACAAATAAGGTTAGATACAAAACTTGTACTAAATAAAAAATTATTATTCCAAATTAAAATTAATGTGTAAGATACAAAATAATAATTTAATTAATTCTTTCTCAAAAAAAGATACCTACCATAACGAAATTATACACAAAATTTTAATTAAAGATACTTACAATAATGTATATTGCACCCAAATAAGGTCAGATACAAAGTTTGTACTAAATAAAAAATTACTATTCCAACTTAAAATTAATGTGTAAGATACAAAACGAAAATAATTGATTTTTTTTCAAAAAAGGATACCTACCATAACTGAATTATAAATAAAATTTTAATTAAAGATACCTACAGTAATGTATATTGTACCAAAATAAGGTCAGTTACAAAGCTTGATCAATTAATTGAAATTCATCCCTACTATAATTATTTCGTCCCTGCCATAATTATACAAAAAAATGTTAACTAAATTATACTACTAATAGAGATTTGTATCATAATTAAAAAATAATTCTTATTGAACTACTACTTCCATTAATTATGTTTCCATTTATAATTCAAATTTTTAATGTTGTCTTAAAATTGCCAAGTGACTTTTTTTTAGCTTGTCACTTGGCTTAACCTCATGCTTCACTACTCTCCTTTTAATATATATCTATAGAGAGAGAGAAGTATAATTTTTTTTTCATATTTGGCAAATCTTTTTTTTTTCTTAGAGAAAAAGATTTTGACCTCCTAAATTGAGATTTCTTCCTTATAACTTGAGATATCCGCAAAATATTTGATACATGTACGAAATCATAAGAGTCTTTGTTTGAAAAGCTATAATTTTCAATTAGCTTAGATTTCCTTAGATAATCAAATATATGAAATTAAATTCTTACCAAATTATAGTAGTACTAATGGTCTTATTTAGAATATATTGCTACATGCTACGGTCTTATTTGGTACTCTTCTTAATTGCTGTTATCAATGTGTGTGTTAGCAATCACATGAAAGATAAAAGATACTGATACATTATACATCATCGACTAAGGAAAACCATGGGATAATAATAATAAGAAGATCTAAAAACCGAAGCCATTAATTGAACAATAAAAATAAAAATAAATAAAAAGCAATAACTGACAAGTCTAAAAGTGAAAGACAATAAATGTAGCGCTTCATATATACCTTTTGAATTTAAGTTATACATACATTAAATATATAATATTTTCGCTATCAACTATATTTAACTTGATTACTAATGATTTTTAGAAAGATTTTTTTTTCTAATAACCTTATAAGTAATATGATAATATAATTATGTGTACACTGTGAGTCAAAAGGGGCGTTTCATTACTTTTGTGAATGTGTATTTATTTTTCTCTTCACCTTTTCACCCTCCAGCTCCTCCTCCACTCGTCTCACCATATCACCGGAAGGATTAATATTGGATTTACCTCTTTTTATATTTATGTGGCACTGTCCTTTTAATATAGGTATTTCTTAAACTATTACTCTGCAACATAGTTGATTCGACCGCTTCATAGCTTTACATACTGTACAGGTTATTTTAAAAAAAACAGTCCAGTACACAAAGTTCTTGCTATGTGTAAGGTCCGGGGAGGACCGTACCACAAGGGTCTATTGTATAAAATGTTACCTTGCATATCTTCAAGAGGCTATTTCCACAGCTTGAACTCATGACCTCTTGGTCACATGGCAGTTACGCCAAGCCTTCCCCTTCATATTGTGCATATTATCTTCCCAAAAAAACGAGAAAAGCCTTTTATTACTTTTTATGTAGTTTATACACATAAGTACATCTCATACACATACATTACAACTAAATAGCTTATATACAATTTTTGCAAAGTTGTAGCTCAAAAAAAAAAAAATAGGCCAAGATTCAAGTTCAATTCCAAATAGGTTCTCAAAATCTCTATTCAATTTTTCTTTATAAAAAAAAAATTCAATCTTCTAACCCTATCATCGAATTAGTAATTATGACTAAAATATTAGTTTAACAAACCAAATTCATTTGAACGGTGAAAATTAAATATTTACTATAATCCACCATTGTTGATCAAGCTTAAATAAATAAGTTTAAATTGTTTGTTTTTACTATAATCCAGCATTATAATTTCAGTATATTTGTTTTCTTTTTTCATCTTTTTACCCTCCTCCAACTCATTTTCCAAACATACCACCATATTCCGGGAGAATCAATAGTGGATTTACCTCTTTATATTTATGGGACAGTAGTTTACTTGAATATAAAGCAACCATATGATTTAAAACATATTGTTTCTCTGCTTTCAGATATTTAAACACTGGTTTACTTGAATATAAGGCAACCATTTTTGTTTTACTTTCTTTACAATACTCCATTTTTTTTGTACAATATTTTTATTGCGTGCAAGGAGGTAGCTACGTACATGAAAAATGTACTTAAGAGGGAATAAAACAGCAAAAAAGTCGGAAGTATAGATAATTTGGATAACCAAGAAGAAAAAAAAAAGGAGAAGAAAGTAATATTATACAACTATTAACAACACCGCAGATCTTCAAAACCACTAGGATTTTTTAGAACTCTACAGATGAAAAGGAACACATATTAAAGCCATGCCTTAGGAAAAAAAGTTAGGGCTTAGGCATATGACATGATCCTGATTTGCACTATGATGAAAAATACTAGTGCTATCTAATTTCATATATACTGCGTATTTGCTAAATGCAACGTCTTCATAATGAGTATTTACAAGAGAAATCAGCCCTAATTAAATAGATCCTAGCATCCTCCACAACCACCGCCTCCGCAGCCGCCACCACCACCGCAACCGCCGCCACCACCGCAACCACCGCCTCCACCGCAACCTCCACCGCCTCCACCGCAGCCCCCACCGCCACCGAGATGACCACCGCAACCGCCGTCATCACCAGTACTACCTAGAGTTCCTACAGTAAACATAGTTCCAGTAGTATCATTGCCTGTGCCATTCCATGAGCGGCTAGTACCTTTTCTTGTGGAATAAACATACTTTTTCTGGCCTTTCTTTATGTTGACCTCCTTTTTTTCGGTGGATGACTCTTTGCTTACACACAATCCCATGCCAATTTGTACAATGAAGAGACCGACGAAAGAATGATTTCTAAAGATAAAGATGAATTCTGACCAAGCTTTATATACAAGTGCGGAATAGATAAGTGTTGAGGAAGCCAAATGTATATAGTATGAATAAATCACAACTACTATACCAAAAATTATGACAGCCACCAAATAATAAATAAGACAATAAAGCAACAATAAAGGGAATACCAGAATTTACGAGGTTCGGCTAATTTTGCCTACTCCTCGGACACAACCAATATTTTATTTCACTCCAAAAATACAAGTGAAATAATACTAAAGAGAGAAGATACAAATGCCTTAAACAGATGAGAAGGCAAATGAGAGATGTGTCTAAATCCTAAACATTAAGCCTTCTTTTATAGGGGAAAAGTTTCCCACCAACTCCTTAACCCACC